ACTAAAAGCATTGTGCCAAAAAATCATCTGATTCTAAGGGGTTTATGTGGAAAGCACTGACTGTTTTATTTTTTTATATTCGAAACCAGAGACTATGTAACTGTGCCGTGACACAGCAACTCTCATAGAAGAAGCACTATAGAGCTGTGTTAAGCAATAAAAGGTTGCTAAAATATTTGTGACTGTAATTCTGTCTTGAATGAAGACCAATACAACCTAATAGGAGGGTATGCTAAAACATCAGTTACAAAATGCTAAATAAGCCTTTAATAAAGGTTTCAGTTTCCCTCCTTTCCTAGAGTTAAAAAAAAGCATGTGTTATCTCTTGTCTCTCATCACTCTTGTTGCATTTGTTTGGTGCTGCAGGATGATGAGAAGGAGTATGGCGGGCCCAGTCCAGGTGAACTGCTCGAGTCGCTATTCAAACGAAGCAGCTGCTCCTACAGGGTGAGACTTTTCTGTTTTCATCTCATATCCCTCCACACAGAGACTGAAACTGCATGCAGTTTAAAGTCACAGTCACACTATAGTAGCAGAGCATGACAAAAATCATGTTGTTTGAGTGTATTGCTGAGCATATATTTATACCAATGCAGATTGAGTCGTACTGGACGTATGAAGTATGCCATGGAAAACATGTAAGGCAGTACCACGAAGAGAAGGAGACTTCTCAGGTCAGTGCTTTGTTTTATTTTAAATATTTTTAGACTGGAATGGAAAATGTGCACTCGTTACGGTTCGCTAAGTTTGCATGTTTCCACAGAAGATCAGTGTACAAGAGTACTTCTTGGGAAATATGGCACAAAAGAGCCAATCAACAGAGACAGGTTAGTGTCTATATATATGTATATCTTACACTGCTTTTTTTTTTTTTAATTGAACGTTAATCATATTTGGCCTTTCTTTTTTTTTCAGATCAAGCTGAGAAGACAGACAGTGTCAAACCGTCCGAAACCAAAGCAAGTATTCTACTGAGTAACCAAGCAAATCTGCCGTCTAGTTTTTCAGTCTCACATATCTTTCCTGTTGCCTTCCCCTTTTTCTAACGTCAGGTGCCCACTAAGAACATTGAAGGTCAGCTGACTCCCTACTACTCAGTGGAGATGGGAAACGGGACTCCGTGTTTGCTGAAACAGGACCAGCCTCGCTCCACAGCCGTGCTGTACGTCTGCCATCCGGAGGCCAAGCACGAGATCTTGTCTGTCGCTGAGGTCACCACCTGCGAATATGAGGTGGTGGTGCTGACGCCTCTGCTTTGTGCACACCCAAAATACAGGTAAGATCTGTTAAGATGGTTACACTTTAATAGAGCGCGACACCCGTATTTAGTTTGTTTGTTAGTTTGTCTTATTATATTTAGACGGTGGCCCTGAGAGGTCAAACTCGCTGCAAATTAAGAAAGCACCAGCAAATAGAAAAATGCTTTAATAGCACACAAAACACAAAAGAAGAGCTGTTTTGTTATAGCCTTTTATTTGGCTGCTGATGGATCCGCATGTTTTAAATATCATGCAAAATTCTTGCAACAGATGTTGTTCTGATGCAGCGTCCCCGGGGATTTGTGTCTCCTCTCGGTCTTTAACTGCAGATGTTTAGCAGTTTAGGTGAATGTGTTTACTATGGAGGCACTGAGCTGTTTAGTTAAAGCCTGTTTTTGGCTGCTGTAAAACAGTAAGGTGTAGCTTGTCTTTTAAAGCAGACTGCAATGATTTGCAGATCATTTTAACCTTATATTTAACTGAAAGTTGTATAAAGACACCATTTTAAAGGAAAAACTCAAACTGAGACTTTTTATTTTTCATATATTTCCCAATAAATACTATAAAATTCACCTGCTCACGTCACTTGTTCGCAGGTTCAAATCCTCCCCGGTGAACGCCATCTTCTGCCAGGCTCTGGCGGGCTCCCCTCTGCGGCCTCAGCGGCTCGCCCAGTTGGACAAAGAACAAGAGGAGCAGCTTAAACCACCTTTCGGTGCCACATCTGAGCCCAGAGAGGTAAGACGTGCAAAGATAAACGGTGATCACCTGAGCACACGAAACGTGGCTTATTTACATTTGTGATATATCATAGGAGGAGACGTCAGCAGTGAGAGAAGAAGCCTTCACCTCCACCCACAAACCCATGACTGTCGGAGGGCAGTCTCAGGTCACTGTTGGTACCACGCACATCTCTCGCCTGACAGACGAACAGCTAATTAAGGAGTTCCTGAGTGGCTCGTACTGTCTGCACGGGGTGAGGCGTGTTTATGTGTTGGAAGCTGAGCACTGATACATAAACTGCTCAGTGACCACTAATCATCTTAACATGTGCGTTTCAGGGTGTAGGATGGTGGAAATATGAATTCTGTTACGGGAGGCACGTCCATCAGTACCATGAGGTAAGCGAGTGTATTCAAACGTGGACAAAGTAAATAATCAAATACACTTCTAGTACCTTTTTAGATTGTATGCTGGCTATAAAGCAGTAAGCGAGAGTATTTTCTGTATCAGCCAGATGATCTTTTCTTTGTGTTGCAGGATAAAGAGCAAGGGAAGAACATTGTAGTGGTGGGGAACTGGAATGCAGACGAACACCTCGACTGGGCCAAGAAGAACGTCGCCCGATCCCTCCAGCTCAGAGAGGACGGAGTGCAGAAAGTCAAGTAGGCCTTTCAGATTTTTGAACACTAATCGCTGTAAACGGATACAAAAATATCCACCCACTACTTTTTCTTTTCCCCTTTACTCCACAATAGGTTGGTTTCCCACTTCTATGGCCACGGTGATGTGTGTGACCTGACAGGGAAGCCCAGACAGGTCATCGTCAAGCTCAAGTGAGTGAACCGTTACCTAGAACTAGGGGATGAAGGGTGGAGCACATCAGCCCGAGTCCACGGATGAGTAAGACTAAGTTGTCAGTGTTTCCCATTTTGATTCACTCATATCATTTCTCTTCTCTCTGTCAGATGTAAGGAGTCTGAGTCTCCCCATGCTGTCACTGTCTATATGCTGGAGCCTCAGACTTGTCAGTATGTCCTTGGGGTAAGTTTATGTTTCACTCCAGAGTGGCAAAAAAAGAAAACAGTAAAATTTGCTTAGTAACACTATGAATCTTATGTGAAGGTTTAGTCCTTTGTAAAAACACATTTATATCAGTTTTAGGGATAAATATAAAGAAGAAACTGCAGATTGTTTAACTGCATGGATAAATTTGATGTACACAAGCCAATCTTGGTGTTATTTTGTTCCCTTCATGCCTTTTCTCTGTGACAAATTAAAATATATAACTATAAATGAAAGATGGCTTTTTTTTTTTTCTGTAGGTTGAGTCACCGGTCATATGCAGGATTCTTGACACTGCTGATGAATATGGGCTTCTGTCACTCTCCAGTTAAATTGGCGGAGTTTTACTGGAACAGCAGCGGCGCACGGAGGACATATAGAACGAGGACACTTAGTAAACAAGATGCCCTTAAGACTGCGCTACAAGCCAAAACTGAGAATAAACTCAATCCTGAGGCTGGACCTCATGTAGCCCAGGGAGAACAGGCCCCGCCCACACTCCCATGACCTGTGCGATGGGTCACATCAGCCCGACTCTACCTTAAATCAAATTCAGGCAGTGGAGTTATTGCTTGAACTTCATATCTATGCTTCACTTTGTGATGATTTATTGCAAGCAAAGGAGTGACGAATCATCAGGGGAATTAACAATATTCATAGTGGTTTTGTCTGTCTGTGTCTGTGTGAGTGTGTGTGTGTGTGTGTGTGTGATATGGATTGATTAGCTGCTTGACTGTGGCACTTTTTTACTTGTAGATATGAAAAACATCTGAAAATGCTTCACAGCAGGGAGACTGTGTGCTGTGTGAGTGTAACTTATGCATTAGAGATTGCTGTGGAATAACAATAAAAGTGAGTGTAAGGTTGTAGGATGTACAGTGTGTGCAGGTTCATTTAAAAGGTTCGTTTTGTGGTTTTATGAAGATGCACGCTGGGATCCGACTACTGCTATATCTCTGGAATAAAAACCAATGCATTTACAGCAAAGAATTAAAAAAAAATCAAAACATGAAACCTTATTTTAGTTTTCCATTACCACAGAAAAGAGTAGATTTAAGACATTAGGGAAATATGTAGTTCAGGGATATCTAATTCAAACTGGCCGCTTTGATTTTAAGTGGGTTGGACCATTTCAAGACCACATTTAATCCTCAAGGTATCTAAATATAAAAATAAAGTGCAACTTTAACAGAAAGTGTCCGTTTTTTCTACTTGATAAAGAAATTCTACTGTAGTAATTGAATGGCTTGTGCATAAATGTGTTCAACTACAGAAGAAATGCATCCATCTGAGCAATGGATACGCAATGTATCCTGTATATAACACATTTTTATAGTAGATAATGAAAAGCACAGGAAGTTTTCTGTCATTTATTTTTTAATAACTAAATGTGTTTGGTGTAGCTTGAGTGGTTATATGGGAGGTTTTTAAATCAGTAAAAATGAAGCTGTTAAACTTGTGAAAAAACAGCTAAAAGCCCCCAAACATATGCCTTTCTCTACATTTTTTTCAAATCTGTCCAGTGGGGCTGGATTGGAGTCTTTAGCAGGCTGATTCCAGGTCCTGGGCCTGAGGTTTGATACCCCTGAAGTAAGTTAAGTGTAGAATTTAGTGTTTTATTTATTCGGCCGCCAGAGGGCGCTGATGCTATGTGTATGTGTAGTAACATCAGCACAGTAACGGGTGTAGATCTCACAGACATTACATTTGTACTTGCCAGTTATTTATTGTGTTTTAAAAAGTGTATGAGGCTCAGACTCTTTTTCTCTTGAGAAGAGAGTCTATCCAGGTGCAACCACGTACCACTGACAGCCGTATGGGGTTTCATAGTGGCCTGATGCTGAAGAAGCTGGTTTCACTTCTATCTCCAGCCAGAGAGGAACTGGGATTAAAACTAGCAACTGGTGACTCTGGGTTCAGTGAAAACCCTCAATAAATCAATTCAATATCAATAAATAACTTGCTGGAACATAAACTTTTATTCTAAATCTGTTTCTCATTTCAGTTTCAAAGGCAAAGTTTATACTGTAATTCTGGTTCTTGTCATTTGTGCAACATCGTTCTACTGTAGGAGAGAACAAAAATGTTAATACTGAGTCCAAAGACATAAAAATGGCCTGTTTACACATTCCTCCTTTGATTCACATTGGATTTAAAGTCATGGAGAGATTGTCCAAAGCTTTCTGTTCTTTGACTATACCGAGGGCACGGGAATCTGGTGCACTGAGGTGCTTTCAAAGTCCTGCAGAGCATCTTGGTGAGTGTGGTAGTGCATGGCTACATAGGACTTGGCGAAGGCAAATGTCTGAGAGCTGATAGGCTGTAGGCTGGTGGGGGAGCTGGGCCCTGCTGAGGGACTGCTGTTGTATATACTGTAGTAGGGCTCAATCCGGGTGTTGATGGGTGTAGAGGTGCTCGGGAGGCGAGGTTTGCGTGTACCGGTCGCCCTGGGACTGCCAGCGCAATCCCGGGAATGACTGGGTCCACAAGCCTGGTCTACCAGCCTCTTCTGTGGCTTAGGTGACAGCACGTAGGCCGAGTTGGTCTCGTGATGGGAGGATTTATTGCGATTGACTTCCAGGCTCCCCTTCCCCATTGCGTGCAGGCGTGTCTTTTGCTTGCAGCACAGAAATCCAAGTGCGGCCCACTGAATGCAGGACAGTACGCGGCGGCGGAGGCCTGCACTGTTGCGCGAGTACACAAATGGATTGATGCCTGATTTGAGAAAAATGAGCACAAAGCCACACAGTTCGAACTGGTAATGTGCAAAGCTGCTTTCTGGTGACAAAACATCCTGTGCCAGTGAAACTCCCATCGGCAGACAGCAGAGTAACACAGAGAACACTATAACTACACAGGTGACAACTGCCTTGGAGTCTTTGGCTGTGGCTAAGTTGACTGTGGAGACCAGCTGACAGCAGGTGGCTCCTTGGGCGGCCCCTGGAACCACCGGCTGGTTTGTCCTGTTGGCATAGGCGTGCGTTTGTACATTCTGCAGTTTGTTGTAAGACTGGTTACGGTACAGAGAGGGGCCTTGAACGGCACACTGCATGCTTTCAAAGCCTGCTGCAATGAGAGGTGGTGGGGGTGGAGGGCAGGTGGCATCAACAGTGATGATTGGGCATTTCCTTACTTGTGCGTTCTTCCTCAGGGTCTGAGCAATCATCAGATACGACACAGACACCACAGCAACACAAAAGGCAAAATCTGCCAGGTAGACGTACAACACAACCCTGGCCTGCCCACTCCCCAGGCCAAAGTGGGGCAAGCAGGGTCCATCTTTGCGTGGGTATGCGCGCATGGTGAGGAGAGCAGCCAATGTGAAGCTGGATGTCCACAGCAAGGCGGTCAGGGCCAGCGTGCAGGGGAAGGAAGCAGTACGGTTGGGCTGCTGTCCCAAAACCATGCGGAGTCTGTGCAAAGCAATGACGGCCACCGTCTCCAGGGACATGATGATGAAGCCCGAACTGGTCAAGTGGAAGGCAAAGCAGAAACTCTTTGACACGCCATCCGCTCCGCCTGCATCCAGGAAGAGCACCAGCGCAAACATGGGAGCGGTCACGCAACAAATGAACAAGTCGCAGAAGGACAGGTTGAGGATCATGAAGTCAAAGTTGGTGCGGAACTTGCGAAACGCCGGGTCGAAAAAAGACAGGAACACCACAAGATTCCCATAAGAGCCAAGGAAGAAGATAAAGATGAGGAGGAGGGAACAAAAAGTCAAGGTAGCAGTGTGGATCACGGCCCAGCCTGAGGGGGTCTGGTTACCCAGGGTGCCATTGAAGGTCTGCAGTCTTGGCACATCTACCAGGTCCGAGGGTGTAAGAGTGGTGTTCATTGTACTCTGATGATTTAGAGCGACTCCACATTCATCAATTTCAGTATTATTCCTCTAAGAGGAAGGAGCACATGCTTCCACCATTGCTGCCACCTTGGTAGAAAACGACAAAGAATATAAATACAATCAGCTCTCTGGGCTCGTCTTCAATACAGTTATAATGATAATGAGGAGAAATGGATGGATAACTTACAATTTGATCAGAAACGTTAGACACGGGTATAATAGGCTATGCACCACTGCATTTGGCCAATTACCTTACCTCCCCATCACCCCCCTTTAACTCTCTCTCTCTCACACACACACACAGCAGCGTCTGCTTAATAAAAAAGAAAGAAAAAAAATCTCTGAATATCAAAACGAATGTTGGTTTTAAGGCTTTAACGGGCTGCACAATCCAGGATTCACTAATGCTTAGAAAATATAGCACACTACCTGTACTAGATCGTGCGATCCTCATTATTTCATACAGCCCATCTTCATTATTTTTAAGGCAGTGCGATATTGAACGCACCGCTGCTTCGGAAACAAAGAAGGAAAAATGTTTTTTAGCAGCTCACCTAAACGCAACAGTCCGTCGGAAAGAATCGATAATCTTCACGTTTCCTTACATGTCTGTGTAAATCAGCGCGAACGCGTAGATGGCAGCTTGTTTCTTTTCTTTACGATAAATCCATTCAAATAGAGGAGCGACGGCCACTGGACGTGCACTGAAAAATGAGTATGAAGTCACCGTCTACGTATCCGGGCATGAGCATAACCACTGCATTCAAGTAGTCCGTCCATAGAAACGCTTCCCTCACTGGGAATCAGCTGGCGGAGTAAGAAAGGAGAATTTGCGGGATTTATTTCGAACATTTGAAATTTGACAGAAGCGCCATTATCCGACACGTCAAATATATTACCGCAGCAATTTATTTTATTTTTTGCTTTCACCATGGTAATGTATTATAGTTTATGCGAAAAATGGCGCCCCCCTATTTAAACAGTCTCTGCCAAGGACGTGAAAAAACAAAACAAAATTATACACATAAATATATAATTATTAACTACTATTTATCTTGTAACAATTTAAACTGATTTCAACAAAAACTGATTAAATTTTTAAAATTTATTACAAAAATTTATATAATTTTTAAAGGTGTCATTCAGCATGATCAATATGACAAATATAAATATGAGCATTAATTATTATTTTTCCCGCTTCTCACGGACAATACTTCAAGCAGGGTCACAAACCCCTCTGTAAAGAGCTGAAACACTGAGCAGGGATCAAGTGTTCTGCATGTTGGAACAAACAAGTTCTAAAAATATCAAGACTGAAGCTAATGCTGCACACTTTGATTTTTTTTTTTTTTTAAATTTTGGTCCAGTATCTGATATATCCCGATAAAAATGTGACAAAAAAGAAAACGCTCATATGCAGATTTTTGTTAAAAACATTTTTTCATTTTATTGTCTTTAATTAAGCAAACAGTATATCTAAAAAAACAACAACAAAAAAGCAAGAAAAAAAGAAAAAAAACAGAAGGGAAAGAAAACTCACTGCAGTTTTGGCACTACTCTAGTTAGTGAGGTACTAAATGCTTCGATGCTTAGACTGATTTTAAGTCATCAGGGGAAACCATACTGCAAACCAAAGTCATTACTTTTTGTTAAAAAGTAAATAGTACCTGTGATAAAAAGGAAAGGGTTATAATTATAGACAGGCAGTTTTTCTTTTTCGTGCACAGAGACACGTGAAAGAGTGATCTCACTGTGCTCGAATCACACAGCACAGCAGCGGGGAGTTTGTGCTCTCCCTATCTTTGCAGGAGTAGTTGACAACAGGCTCCGCTGCCCACAGCTCAGCCATCTACTTAATTTCAGATATACTCTCTATGAAAAGAAAAAATACAATAATGAAAACTTAGCACTTCAAAAAAAAAAAAAAAAGGTAAATAAATAAATGTTTGTGCATATTTGCTATACCATGATATACACATACATGATGCATATAACCATATATAGATCAAACAACCACACAAACATTGTGTGTTGCAAGTTGTAAGTCTAAACTAAAGAGACCGTTGTTCAGTTCTCTCTGGCTTTCACCAAACACTTCACTGCTGGAAGATAAAGTATGTCCTACACTGGACAATGTGTTGGCTCAGAGCTGATACTTGGGATATAATCCTGAGAAATGTGTGGGACACCGGCTGATGTCTTCAAGCATCCATCAACCTTCACACACACACGCACACACACACGTGGACATGCACGTGGACATGCACGCAAACCACAAAATAAAAAGAAAACAAAAAATCTGTACAGTAATGTTACAAACTGCAGGCCATTCATCCCTGCTAAGATGGATCCTTAAATATTAAGTATAGTAGAAATGCAAATGAGCTAAATACATAAATACACAACATTTTAATCCTTCTGAGTGCCACTCTTCATCTGATGCTGCTGGGATGTTGTGTATTATCTCAGTCAATCACTCAGGTCCTCTCCCCGATGTAGGCTGATGTCTGCACAGACTGGAGATGTTCCAAACTGTTTCCAATGAAACACAAAAAAAGATTAAATGTAAAAAGTTAGTTAAAATGAAGACAATACAGTCAGGGACACTAATGATTTGGCAACAGTGTAAAATAATTCTTTACCAGGTTTTAGGCATAATAACAGGGAGAGACCAGCAGGTCAGTGAGGACGAGCAGCTGGTCATCTGTGAACTGCTGCTTATGCTGCTGCCAGTTGTCGTGGTGCGTCCGTCGGAAGTTTGACAGAGTTTTCTTTACAGTCATCTAAAAAGAGACGCCACAGAAGTGATGGTTAGCTTTTGGATATGCCATAATACAATGTGATTAATCGCTGACCACACATACTTCAATGGGTTGTGTGTCATTGAGGTGAGCACTCAGGTCCATCAGCAGCTGGGGCATCCAGGTGGGGACGTCATATGGGCTAGAAAGAATGCAAGCGCTCAACCCGAGAACACCAGCATGGCGGCGCACCAGGTCTGCAAACACATAAGAGTAGCGATTCCATTCAAATGACACTGAAAAAAAAAACCACACAATCTTTGGTTGGTAGGTAACTCTTAGCAAGTTCCTTACCAGCCGATGGGATGGTGTCCACTATAGAGCCAAGATCTCTCTTCCTCTTCTTAGGCAAGCGAGTCTTGCAGAGAGCCTCAAAATGTGCCTGCATTGGGGCATCCATGGACAGGAAATTGCACTGAAGGAAGCCACTGAGTGTAGTGGCAGCCATTTCTCTTACCTAGAAAACAAAGGCCGAAAATGAGATGGACATAATACCAATTACAAGACGCAAAACAATCCAACTGAGGTAACAGATTAAAAAGCTGACGTTTGCTCATAGGTAATGGGTTAGGATTGCATCTGGTAACTGGTGACCAACTGATGCATTTAAAAGGCTTAAGACTCATCATCCAATTATGATAATGCCTGGACCCCTGTGTGTTAATCATTACTGGTGCTCCCAGAGGCATGTGACTCCATCAAAGAATGAATGCTTTTTAAGAATTTCATATTCAAACAACACTGGTTCAAATTCATATTTCCACCCAAAACAATGCCGCAAGTGGCACAGCATAAGTACATTTATATACTGACACATGAGCTCTGGCACCTCGATGACTACTGTACGGTACCAGGCATGCCATAGCTGCAGTATCGAAGTCAGAAGCAGGGTGGCCCATTAGGAAATACACCGGCTACCTGGACTTAAACAGCCAGCTGGGGACTCAGAGCTTTTCTATAATCGGAGCCAAATGCTTTGTAGCACGTTGTTTTAGCTCTATTCTCAATGGAGTTCTCAGTCTTAGACCGGTGTTTTTCAGTGGACAGGCATCTTTAAATACAACAAGACAAACGTATTGCATCACTAAGGCCGATAAATTAGACTCAGGGGACTTTAAGTGGCCAAACAAAAATTCCATCCCCCACTTCTTCTTTGCCTCTACTCCATCCTTCTCCCTTTCACTCTCATTCAATCCTAAACGTTATCTCCATAGCAACAGATTACTGCAGCCTGTGGTTTCCATGGCAACAGCTAGAGGACTGGAAGGGGGAAGAGAGTAGAGAGCCACGAGGAGCGCGCTGAATCACTACAGTGAAGCTGAAAGACAGTGCGAGTGCCTGCTAGCATAAACAAGCACATAGTGGCCAGTTGCTTGGTGAGTGTTACATAATCCGAGAGTCACATGTTTCTTTATCTTCAAGCTAGGTTCCAGCTCCTGCTCATGCCACTCCAGGTACATGTTTCTGCATTCATCTTTACATTTCAAGTTACCTCAAGCTGCTCGTCCTCCAGCAGCTTTATCACCAGCGCCCGCACATCATTCACTGCCTTCTGGTCACTCATGAATGTGAACAGGTTGTAAAAAACCATTATCTGGAGGTATGTGAGCACCGTGTAGCGAGCGTGCCAGGAGCTGCTGCCAGCAATCTGTAACACACAGCAACAGAGCCAGCCTCACATCAGCAACATACTTCAGGTGTACACAATAAGCATGTTTGTCTTTGCAATCCTTTTATTGGAACAATGATGAATACAGTATACCAGGCATGGACAGATACAGGATTACATAATGTCATAAAGAAATTTAAGTATAATCAGATGCCTTTGATTCTTTTGTCTTTCCCACTGAACCTTTCTTTTATGATCAGTGATAATTAGTGAAAAACCCAGTGTTATGTGATGCAGGTAAAAAGCTGAGCGACAGCCACATCGGCCAGGTGACCTACCTCCTGTAGGACACTGAGGACCATGGGGATTTGCTCTGTGTAGAGGAGTCCCTGAGACATCAGAGACAGGCAGGTCTTTGCATCCCTCTTCAATTCATCATAACTGTCATCATTTTCAACCGGCGCAATCTGAAACACGACAGCAACGGGTTAAATGTTATAGTGTATACAACACAACAAAAAAAAAACAAACTTGAAGGTGGTAGTGACGAAGGTAGCTAAGCTAAGACTGAATGTGAATATTTCACCTTGAAGAGCAGGGGAAGCAGCTGCAGCTGTTCTGAGACAGCAGTGGAGAAGGAGCGACCAGCACTCGCAATCAGCCACTTTAGCACTGCAGAAATTCACAGGACGAATCATTTCATAAATGCCACAGTCGGGTGTGTCTCGCAAAGAAACTGATTTGGTTAGTGACAACAGATCAACCACCCACCTGTTTTGAGTAACTTGATTGCTTGAGTCCTCTCATCCTGCACTCCCACCTCATTCTCCTCAATCACGTGGTTCTGGATTTCCTCATCGCCCTCATTTAAAGGTTTCAGCCGCAACAGAATTCTCTCCGTGAAGTCCGAGATGCGTGGGGAGGTGGTGGGCTGAGTGTATGGCAAGTTGACATCAATCATGAAGATATACGTGAGCACGCTGGAAGGATAGAAAAGTAGAGAGGGAGGATGAAAGAAAAATGATATACAAACGAATTTATAATAACTTGATGACACATTTGAGCTTAATCTGGGTGCAAAAAGCGCCTCACCTGCCAATGCGCTCACGTACATTCTTGTAAACTTGGGTGAGCTTGGGCTCCAGGTATTGCAGCAACCTGTGGAGTAGCTCAGGTACCCTCCACTCCTGCTGAGCTAGACCACCCTGGAGCACGTATAGACGACTGAAAAGAAAAACCATTACAAGTGTCAGATTGTTAAGTCCCACCGACAACGGCATCAGCATCTCCTCAAAGGTGTAACTTTTTACTCACCAGGCATCGACAAAAGAGCCTCCCTCTCCATTGACTGGGGACTCCATTAGCATCTCAAACAACCAGTG